AGATGCTACAGATGATTAGAATTATTTTTGCTAGCACAGTTTATTAAAAAATGTCCTTGGTGATACCGCTGCTCAGTTCTTTGTTCTGCAAGTTACAACATGAAAATAAACAAATTTCTGCAAATAGAGAAAGGCCAGTTAGTCTCCACTAAATTCCCAATGAGTAGCACCTAAACTGTGGCCTCGAGAAGCTGCAAATTTTTTGTCAAATAGGTGTAAAATGGTCTAAAGCCTAAAGACTGGCCTCCACTGGTGAGATGCTGAAAGCTTTAGCACTCTGCTGTGGTCATTCCAGATGCTGGCTTGCTCCAAGCAGGTGATGTCCTCAGTTCAGTACCTGGAGTCTGTACAAGATGAGTAGAGCATTTCCAGCTTCTTGTGGCAGGAAGAAATCCTTAATTCAGCAGTCTCACTTCCCTGATTTCCATCACAGCTACTTGCTTCTCACGTGCCACTGCTTCTTGGCCATACTGGCCTATTATTGCAAAGATGGCAACTGGTAATGTAACATTTTCTGCTGTGAGAAACACAGTCCCTTGCCACTTGCATAAAGAAATTCCTACAGCATAAGCCTACGAGTTTTTCCTCTGTGCACATAACCAAAACTATTTTTAGCTATGGCATGGGTCTTTCATAGTTATCGCTGCTTATTTTCAAAGACCTTAACATTTGGCACATGTCATATTAGTCCCACTGATTTTGTGTTGCTTTTCATCCCTATTCCCTTCATTCCTTGCCTTCCCCCCCTCAGTGGATCCCAGCCCATGGTCTCCTTCCCAACAGGCACAGGCTGTTTCAGCGTGTCTGCCCCACTCAGATTTAGCTTAGACCCTTCCCCCAACCTAAAATTAATAAACCCTTTTCACAATACTCAGTCACAGTGCTGGTGGCTTATTTCCAGCTCTTAAACTTACAAACCTATTTATAGCTCAAAAGGCTTGAAAAAGAGATCATTAAGGGAATAGATTTGTGAATGTAGAACAAAGATATGATTCTGGGATTTTCTGTAGGCAATTACTTAGTGTAAATAACAATGTTTGACACCTGCTTTCCTCTCCCATTGAAATCTCAAAGCAGTTACATATATGAATCCTTAGCCCGAGTGCTGCAGAGAGGAGCTGCCCTTGAGGATCTTAGACTGACACCATGTTCCAATCTACTAATATTATTTTTCTTTTAAATTCACTGACTTGCTCTTACTCTATGTCATGCTCCTCCTCACCTCAGAGGCTGAAGCAGGAGTGAATTAGACCTTCAAAGATTCGAATTATATCAAAATATAGCACTGCAGTCCTGAATGGTGACATTCAATGGAGACCCTGAGCTCCTCACCGTATTCTAAGCCATTAAGCATTATCATTCATCTATAAAATATAGCACAGTTACACACTGATGCAGAGAGATTCTTTTTTTCCCTATTTCTTCATTTCCCTTCACTACTAATTTAATGTGAATATCATTCACATGGTGAGTGTGGGGCTCAGGAGCTCCATCCTAGTCCTGCTCTATAGTGACGACCCGAATACCTTTTTTTGTGCAAATTATGTTTTCCTGTTTTCCTTTGGTTCTGAAGAAAAATTGCAAACTTGCAGTTAGTGTTTGAAAACCAGTACTAAGTTGAAAAGTTCATGCATTCCTCGTGGGAATGTGCTTCAGAATTTCTCTTCTGGATTATGTCTCCACACAGAGAAATAAGGACTGAAGTTAACAGTCTCAAACCCCAAACAGGACTCAAGCTGAGTACGCAGCCATGTGAGTTTATAATGACTTTTTTATCCTCAAATGTGTATTTTTTTCTATTTCCCTGTCCCCCTTCAGGTCTAAGTTTCATTTTGCTGCTGGTCACAAAATCTCGGCTCTGTTGTGCACCGGTTAACTCTTCCATTCCATTGAGTCAGGCCAGTGTTACAAGGACGACCATGTTGACTTAACCAAGCAAAGCCATCCACTTGCACCTAATGCAGCCCAAAGTTGGTAAAAGCACAGCATATTCCTTTTTATTGACTCTTTACTGTAAGCCTTGGCAAAGTTTTCAAAGTCCATTCAGTTTTCCCTGGGCCATCATCAGCGTGCGACCAGAGGCCTCATTCTGAAGATTCCGGGCCATGCTCAAGCAGTGCTGTACGTTCAGAACTCCTCTATTACACAGATTTTTACATAGATCCCTTGTACCCAGAGATGTGCCTGAGACACACCTCAGTGACATTTCCACTAGAAAATAAGGCAAAAATTATCTCTATTTATGAGGACATTCATAAGGGCATTTTAATCCAAGTCAAAATATTAGGCTTTGGCAATGAGAATTCAAGTGTATGTTGTTGTTTTTAGTTACCTTCTGGGTGAGGGACTGTAACATAGTGATAAAATTGAGGCACAAGGAATGAGGTAAATGGTGGGGAGAAAATCTGGAATCACAATTCTTTAGGGCACCATGAGGTATGACTTGAGGGACAGACCAGAATTTTCTCTGTAGACACCAAGTGCATGTCTAAACATTGTCAGTTTCCACAGAGGTTTTCTTCCACTCATATGCAAAGCTTGACCTGGTTGGTCTTCTCACAGCTCATGTAATGAGGTGAATTAAAAACCCTCTTAATCCTTATACTCTTTCAGTCTCTTTGTGCAGGGCGCAGTCACTTTGAAACTACATTGGACTTGACAGAAAGACTTCACTGAGATTCTTTAATATTCTTCCTTGTTGTGTTCACTGGGCTGTGTCTATATGCCTTTATTCTTTAATATTCTTCCTTGTTGTGTTCACTGGGCTGTGTTTATATGCCTTTGTCCACAGCATGTGCACCATCACTTTTTTTTCACCTGAAATATGCCTTCACTTAGACTGAGAATTCAAAGGTTTGTGATATCCTTCTGTGTCTCATCCTCCATCCTTGGCCCAGCTACATCTCCTTTACACCTTAACAGAGACTCACTGGAGTAGAGACCTGTTGGCTCTGTGGAGGTGCCAGATGCTCTAGGGCATAAAAAAATTGTGGCCCAGAACAGGGCCAAGTTGCTGATGAATAGCAGTGGCAAGTCCCAGATCGCTGATGTCTCTTGGGCCTGTTGGTGACTCCCCTGGATACACCTGTGCTAATGAACTGGTGGCAGTGCCCACCCTTGGGTCCTGGGGCCAGCTGGCATTGTCTGGCCATTTCCCTACTTTTAGCTTCACTTCCAAAACAAGTTTTCAGACTTCCTAACCTGGTCCAGGTTAACTCCTGAACCTTTGCTTAGGAGAGTGCTGCTTACTCTGGGCCATAATCATGGCCAAGACCACTCCAATGACTTCACAGTGTTCATGTTCCAGTGTTTGAGCCTGCTTTCTGGTACTCTTTATGCCAAACAAATGCTGACTTGCTTTGTGGTTTAGCAATATCTTATTTACAAACATGAAGAATTTTTTTCCCTGCTTGCTTGGTGGTAATTTCTTTGAATGCCCTCATTGTCTCCCTGTTTTCAGAGCACACATCCCTTGGCAGATCTGCAGCAACACTATGTGCATGTTTTCGCTACAGTTAAAAAGTGGCAGCAGTATTGTAGAGATACAACAGAAATCTCTGGTTTAAAGTAATCATAAACCATAACTCAACACTTCCCTTACTGATTTGCAGCAAGGTAAACCAATCCCTGCTGAATCCCAGGCTGCACATCCAGCTAGTCTTTCTGCAAGATAGACACATCCTATGGCCCAGGCTTCCAGGGTTTGAAGAGCCTGGAGGATCCGGTCCTAAATAGCTCACTAAAGGTCATGAGGAAAATCTGAACAGGGTGTGGAAACAGGTCTTCCAATACACAACCCAGCACAACAGCCCCTGGGGCATATTTTTCTCAAATTTAATAGGTGATGGACCTCATGAGGTGATGGCCTCATGAGATCCCACCTGTAGTACTGTGTCCAGCTCTGGGTCTCCCAACACAGGAAAGACATGGACCTGTTGGACCAAGTTCAGAGGAGGGTCACAAAGATGATTGGGGGCTGGAGTACCTCTCCTATGAAGAAAGGCTAGGAGAGTTGGGGCTGTTCGTCCTGGAGAAGAGAAGGCTCTGGGGAGACCTTAGATCACCTTTCAGTACCTAAAGGGAGCCTACAAGAAAGCTGAAGAGGGACTTTTTACAAGAGCAGGTAGTGATAGGACAAGGGAAAATGACTTCAATCTGCAGGAGGGGAGATTTAGATTGGATATCAGGAAAAACTTCTTTACCGTGAGGGTGGTTAGGAACTGGAACAGATTGCCCAGAGTTGTGGATGTCACACCTCTGGAAGTGTTCAAGGCCATGTTGGATGGGATCCTGAGCAACCTGGTCTAGTTGAAGGTGTCCTTGCCCATGGCAGGAGGGCTTAGAACTGGATGATCTTTAAGGTCCCTTCCAACCCAAACCATTCATTCCATGATTCTCTTATTATGTCCCTTAAATTTTCTTCCCTCTGTAAACGTACATGGGAGCAACCTTAGTTTGTATAGGCCAGGGTCATAGCTCCAGAAGTAGTTGGAAAGCAAATCCCAGGGGAAAAGAAGGAGCTTCATTGGGCAGAGGAATGCTAATTCTATGGTCCACAGATCTTAAATGTATGTGTGTTCATATACTACAACTCAAAGGTGAGTAAAACAACTTGCATGACAGTGATATATGTAGGAAGGCTGAAAAAAATATAATCCCTGTAAAACAGAAAGGGTGAACAAAACACAGAGAAGTAGAAGAAAATGGGGATTTGTCTGCTCAAAGTAGGACCTTGTCAAGCAGAGGCTGATAGGGAAAAGGAGGCACCTGGCAGGAGTAGAAGGACTTGCAGAGCATTCTCACTCAAGAGAGACCTGGGAAGGCAGCATGAGAAGAGCAATGGAAAAGAGCAAGGAAGGCAAATTATGTGTTGTCTGCAGAGAGCTGCTACAGAAGAAAGTCCAGCTAACCTTTGCCAACTGTACTCTGGCAGATAGGTACTCCTTGTGAAGATGAAACGTAGCACACGTGGCTCCAGACACAAAAGCATCCTCTGAAACGTAGCACACGTGGCTCCAGACACAAGAGCATCCTCTGCATCATCTGTGGGGGGGCTCTCCAGCGTCCACAGGGAACAGACACACTCAAGAGCAAATCAAGTCTCATTAGGGACAGCTCTGGTGAGTCCTGGAGCAGATCCTGGCAGGTGCTTGTCACATTCAGGATGTAGTGGTTCAATATGCATGTATTAACACTGGGGAAAAATAAGGGTAAGGTTAGGGTAAGGCAATCACTTTCTTAGTAACATCGAGTTCACACATCTCCCCACTTACTAAACCAGCAATATTTTAAAACAACCTTTTTATTTTCCACCATGCTTGGAACCTGAGGTCTTATTTCTGCTGTCACATCCAGTCTGCTGAGAGAGGCAGGTTCTGTATCATAGTCTGTGATATGATTTTCTGTTTGTTCTTTTGAATGACTTTGCCCAAAGGGGTGATAATAAAAAAATGTGAAAGCTGGTGTCAAAATAATTTCTCTGAGCCTGGAATACACACTTTTTTCATTATTCTTGACATTCTCTTTTGTCTTTTTTCTCCTCTCCGCTTACGTTCAGTATTAAAGCAAAGTAAAACACATAGTACAGATAATTCTGCTTTCAGATTTCTTGGCTAGCGTTGGCCCGCTCTCAAGTGGATATGTGGGACCTCTGAACATTGCATATGGTCTTTATATTCCTGTGATTCATGAAGACACATGATTTTCCATTCACAAGTGCACAAGAGCATGGTCATATGACTCCTGCTATTGGAAGTCCTCCTGCTATTTAGCCAGAGCCAACAGCTACAGAAGCATCCCAGAAGCAATTTAATCCAGCACCAAACTTAAAAATAAAAAGAAATGCTCAATATTGTCATACAGATTATTCAAAACAGATCTTATTGGGTCCTTCCATTCTACTGGCCAAGTGGGTGATGCTTCCAAGAGAAGGGGAGCTAACCCATTTCTTCAAGCTTGTTATTCATTTGGGTGGAAAACTGGGATTTGGAAGAGCTTTAGGAACAGACCCTCCCTCCCTCTGATATTTAGGTGGATGTCAGGGATGTCTGGTGTTTTCTTGGTACATGATGTGGTGAAGAAAGGAAGAGGGCCCATGTTGCTGTAAGGCTGCTTACGTGTGTTGTCGGGTATTCACTGACCCTGTGACACAGTCTATAAGGAAGTGCCAGTGTTAATGCTCCCACTCCATCTGTGTGGCTCTTGGATGTCCTTAGTGCATAGGGAGCAGGAGCCAAATGGCAGCTAAGCAAGGTTGGAAAGGATCAAGAACAGATGATGTTGTTCCAGAGATAATCCTCAAATAAGGTTGTTTTAGGCAGAGAACTAGTCTCGTGGTGATACCATACTGACACCCAACCGCTGGCAAAGGGGTTTCTCCACCTCTCAGCCCTCTTCGGCTTTTTCCAAATTGTTTCCTCCCTACCTCAGATTTCCTGTTTTAAAGCCAGCTGTGAGGCACCTGGTCTGCTTCTAAACACACAGGTATTTCATACATTTAACAAAAGCAGAGGGCTGATTTTTGAACGAATGCCATCGTTTTGACATTTGCATTTGAGAAATAGCATCTCCAAACCTGTATGTCAGGGATGACATCTCAGGATCAGATGTGGTTTGGCTGGAACCACGGCATTGTTCCTGGGCATGGCTGCTTCTCCCAAAGGCAGAGCAGCGTAAGGATTTGTGCTCTCAGTCTAAATAAAACATAAGCTGACATATTTTCAGTCTTTAGTATAGACAGTTCAGCAGTACTTTAAGCAATATATTAGATGATGTACTGACATGGAGGACACAGTGGTGCAGCTCCCACATCAAAGACAATGAAAAAGGTGGGAAAATGACAGATGCTCCATATGGGGTTCTTCAATCCACCTATGTCTTTAACACCCACAGCTGAAAAATGGTTCAAATGAAAATTATTGTTCACTTTGGGTTCCTGGCAGACCACAGTGCCACAAAGCTTGTAAAAATGAATTGGATGCCACAGTCAATTGGTCTTAGCTACTGAAGTCACTGCAAAAGTAGGATTTGCCTCGTGGCTGAAACAAGGGGTTGGGAATCTGCTGGCATCTGTTAGTCTCTACCACTGATTTGAAATGGTGGCTTGGGGCAAGGCTTTGTTTTCCTCCTTGTTCTCCTGCCTCCACCAAATATTATTTCTGGTCTTGCAGAAATGCTGGTGCTGGGAAGTTAGCAAGGTGTACTGAGAGCCTGGCACAACACGAACCCTGCTGCAAATTCCAGGGACTGTTCACTGCAAGGACATGGGTTAAGTAAATGTGCTGGTTTTTTTCATTGTGGCTGTTTCTGTCTGTCAGCAGCAGTGGGAACACAGCAGTGAATGCATCATCACTGTTCTTTGATGCAATGGAGGAGCTGGACCACAGGTTGAGCATGGGAGGTTTCTGAAGGCGGGGTGCACAATTGGTTTTTACATGGAGACATACATATTTTCCTGGCATGGGTGATGCACACAACGTGAACAGTTCAGAGAATTGCTTTGAGCAGACACGATTTGCAAATAATGTTTGTTTTGTTTCGAAACGAACATGAAGTGATTGAAAAGCACGAAGGTATTGGCAGTGCCACAATGAGAAAATTATAAATGCACTCGCACAAGAGGTGTTGACTGAGTTCACATACCAGGGCACCTCTGAAGCTCAAATTTGTGAAAGAAAAAAGAGAGCTGTGTCTTCAGATCCTGCAGTTTTTCAATGGGTTTTGAGTGCCCAGGACCTTTCACCATTTTAAAATACCTAACGCTTGATATTTGGATTTAATAAAAAAATGGGCATTGATGCACTTTCTTCAGGTTGATTTAGTGGTTTCTGGATTGGGCTGCAGAGTCAAGGAGATGCTGTCACTGAAAGTCAAATATTGATGTTGGTGGATGCAGGGTGGCTGTGGCCTGTCTGGCTCCCAAACAGTGAGGCTGGCAGGAGTGGCCAGGGATGGATTGCACCAGAGCAAGGGATCAGGCGTGCTCCAGAGGACAATAAATCAGCCACTTGTAATTAGGCTGTCAGGAGGAAGACTGTTTCCCCATTACACAGCACACCGTTTATTTTTTACAGAGTTTATGTTGTTTAGGTTCTTTCTCAATGTACAGAATTGCATTATTTTTTTTTTGTTCCAAATCCAGTCCTGTAGTTCACCAGACAATTCCTCCCAGCAGGTACTTCTGATTAATAGAAAGTGCTGTGAGGTCTCTTCAGGACACAAGGATGACTAACTCTGCAGCAAGTATCTCCAGCATAGATCAAGCAATGAGATTCAACGGAAGGACCTAGAAGCAGGTTCTGACCTCCTTTACACCAGCTGGAGTCTCAAGTAACTCCAGGAGCTTCAAAGGCTTTATCTGTCTTGTTTTAGTATAAATAGTCCAAAATCTAAGGTCACCTCCCTGCTGTCAGCAGCAGCAATTGTTTCACATTGCAAGGGTGGATCCTAGCCTAGCTGGGTTTGGGATGATCTCTGTTTTTTACACCACTCTGGCAAACAAGGTTCAATTTGGAGAACCCTGGCCCACATTGAGTTGTGCCTTACCATAAGATCAGCTTTTTAAGCATGCAAAATATGAGGTTTTCCTAGGTGGGCTGCCATCTCACCTTTCTCTCAGTACAGTGAGTCAGAAATAGGACCTGATCCATCCCTTGCTGGCACACAGGTGGAGGGACCGGTACCTGAGATCATTGGATAGAAATGGCCTGAATTATGCCCTTCTTCAGTTCTTAACAGAAACAGTGACTTGGATAAAGGAGGAAGAGGAGGAGAGCAACTAGAGGGAAGATTTCATGAATAAATTTGGGTAATTTCAGTATATAATTTAGGGTTTATTACTGTTATTACATATATTTTGGATTGGACACACACTACTCAGATCCTCACTACTGCAGTCTGGAAATATGAGGAGCTATCTTGACGTGTTAGAGAGGGACACAGCTATGTTGCTGCATTATTTTTTAGAACAAATGTGACCTTTTTTCTTTTTTGCCAACTTCGCCTGCAGGAAGACTTTGGCCATCCCTGGGTTTTACATTACCTGCAGAATGAGTCTCATTTTCCACCCCAAGCCTTACGTGGCAGGATGTGATTGTCAGACACTGCTCTACTTGCTCCATGCACATGCTCTGACAGCACTGACATGTTTATTATGATTAATAAACATTATTATTCATAGCACAGTGGCAGCTAGAGATTCTAATTATGCATTAGAGCCCTGTTACTTTAGGCCTGGTAGAAACTCATAGGAAGAAACAGTAATTTAAATAGACAAAGAATGTTATTACTGTTTTACAGGTGAGACACAGAGAGATTTGAGAATTCATCCCATGCCTCACAGGAAGCTTTGCAGAATCAAAAGCTGAACCTATATCCCCCAAGCTCCAACCTCTAATTTTACTGAGACGAAAATGCAGAAGGAAAGCCACTTGCATACAGTCAAGTGCATCACAGGATACACACTCATTCTCTCAGCCCCATAGAGCTGAAGCACTTCAGGGTTTTTTTTGTTTGTTTTTGTATTTCCCTTTCCTGGTGATTAATTCTTCTTTTCTTTTTTGACTTACAGCTTATGAGTCACTGTTGTACAGAGAAACTTCTCATTCAAAACAAATGGAGCTCAATTTTAATCAGGAAATCAAACAGCATTTCTTTTTCTTTTTATTCTTTCTCTCACTTTTTTTATATCAAAGCAGTACCAGATTGGGCCCTACAAAAAAACCCCCAAGTTCCATGTGGACTAACATTTGATTGCCTTTTACTGCACCCAGTACCAGTTTCTTTCCACAGAGGCTAGTGTGAAGCATTTTAACACCTTTCTACTGATGGATTTCCTCATCCTGCTGGCAGTGGGTTTTGTCATGATCATATACAAATACCTCAGTAAGTTCTCTCTAGTTCATTTAAGCTTGAAGTGATGTCTTCATGATCTCTGCTGCGAAAACTCGATTGAGATTCAAATCTGCCTTGAAAACTGTTGTTTTCCTGTCCTGTTGTTCCTGAGAAATTTGCTGACCACTGTGACCTTCTGGGGGAGCAGCTCGAGAGCCACCTCTGTATTCTGGCCTATATCTGACCGTGACTGTGCCATCGTGTTTTTCCCTGTTTATCCCTGTGCTTGAACTTATATTTTCAGCCTCCTCAGGTGGTTTGCTTTCTAACAGAAATTACCTTGCAGTTGTACCTTGTGTGAGGAATGAAATGGGGAAGGATTATTTTCATATCAGCATTTGCTTTCCTCTTTCTCTTAGCTGCCATGCTTCATTTCATGTCATCCTCAGCCAAGCAGGTGCAATAACAACTTGCCAGTCTACACCATGCTATGGGTCCTGTCCCAAACACCTCTAGGCTACAGCCTCTATAAAACCTTTGGCAGACCTGTGGGCCAGATGGGGACATTCAAGCACTTAGCACATAACCTGGGACTGTTCCTGGTGGCATTTCCATGGATGGAGAGAAGTCATCTGTTCTTCCTCCAGAGGGGCAGCATCTTTAGGATACCAAATGCAAGTACAGACAATGGCTCGAGATATAACAATGTGCAGTTATTAATTTCCCACACAAAAAAGCTTACAGTACCGACTCCCTCTGCAAAGATGACCATTCAGCACACAGAGGTGACTTTCTGGCACTGCTGGTCCCCCAGCCCACGTATCACTTGGTGTGGATATCTTTTAGAGGTTATAAATACATGGGTGCCAAGACACTACCAATTCGTTCAAGGACATGGACTTGTGGGTTGTTATGTCTCCTAGGTACTGCAAACCAGAACAGCAAAGTGCTTTCCTCATTATGATGTTAATTTTTGCAAGGGAGGCAAAACAAAGCAGACTTTTCCTAAAGGAAAGAGCAGATGGGAAAAATCTCAAGGCATGCTGCATTTTGAGTAAAAAGAAGTCATCATGAATGGCTGGATTTGAAGGCAAAATCTCAATATGATTTAGTCTGCTCTCTCCTATTCCCTTTATTTAAGGACAACAGCTGACTGCCTTTCCACTGTATTTCAGAGGATGCCTCAAATGCATATTTCAACACCAGGCATCTGCTCCTTCCCAAACACTGAACAGCCACAGCATAACACTGTTTATAGCTGTGAAGTTCAGGGGCATTAAGCATCCAAACCAAAAAGACTTTCAGGTGGATATTCAAGTTTAGAGGCACTTGAAAATTTGTGATGCCTTGAAGACAAGGGACTTTTTCTTTTCTTTGGAGAAATGAGACTGTTTAACTCTTCCTGATCAGTACTGAGCATATCAAACATCCATGGATTTAACCACAGATGCCAAGTAGCATCTGGAGAGTACATTGGCTGTGAAGCAGCATGTTCAGTAACACTGTTGAAAGACTTGGAGCCTGCTCATCTGTCCCTCAAGGACCCGCTGGACAGAGAGCTTGACATTCTTCTTGCACCTTCCACCTCTCTTGGGCATGATAGACTCGGCTTCTCCTGAAAGCAAGAGTCGAGGCTCTTGTGGACCATCCACTGAGTACACACAAGGAAGGGAGCTCTTGTGCCATTTCCCATCCAGCTTCCTCATGAATATACATTGATAGACTGTAAGGAAAAACTGAGCTTACAAACCCCGGGCTGTTTGATTTACCTTGACAACAGTTGTGTTGCAGTTCCTGTATCTTCGTGGTTTTGCTTTCTCTGTGCTTTGGCATTTTAAACCAGTGGCTGATGTCAAAACAGAGTTGGGCTTTCCCGAATTTTCCACTTTTGATGGCAATCTTGTCAGACTTCTCAAACCACAAAGATGTATGGGTGGTGAGGGTTCTCTGAATGGCCAGACACTGCAGGGAGTGGTGCTGACTGTTCATTTATGTGTCACTCTGAGTCACTTGCTGAACCCATTGACAGAGATGGGAAACCGCAGTACTTGTCAAGGTACAATGTTCTGAATTAAACAAAAAAAACCCCACTTTGGATTCACAGATGTTAAAACCTCTGGGGAGAAAACATTGTTATTTGAAATGAAAAATTATAAAAAGCAAGCTCCACTGGATCAAGGAGTCCGCTGGAGAATAAAGCTGAAACATGGTGCCAGATCCCTTAAAACACTAAATGAGGAGTTCACCAATTAGCAATGTATGTGAACAGCTCTCTGACCTGAGTTCAGTTTATTCAGCACACATTATCTGATGGCTTGGAAGTAAGAGGGAAGTTGTTCCCAAGAGGCAGAGGGTCACTGTGATCTAATGTCTGCATTTGCAAAGCCAAGACTTGTTACTCATCCCTTAAGTGCCTATTTTAAATAGTATTATTTTTAAAAGTAGCCACAAGACAGATTTGTAAAGCAATTCCTTGTACAAAACCATTGGTTCCAAGACTAGTACCCACGTAGCATTTTCACATTGTAAATATAGTCTGTGCATTTCAGATTCTCCCTGTGGTAAATAATGGATTAAGTAATGAAAATGACATTATAATGAGAATGACATGAGGCTTTAATGAGACTAGAGCTAGGAAAACTAAGCCAATTTTCTGTTCTCCTCAGAAATCAGGCTAAGGTTTATCATTAACATATCATGATCAGCTTTAATTAGGTAATTAATGACAGTAGCAAGATAATAGCAAGGTGCTTGGCAATGTTATTCTAGCCAGTGTGCAGACACATCACAAAAACCTGACCTTTGTTTAGATAAGTTTACAACTCAAGAGAGAAGACTAGAACAGAAAGTCCGCAGCTGCCAACCTTGGGAGCACCCCACCTACAGGGTGATGGCAGAGTGGACTCCTCCCTACTCCCTTTCTGTTGAAGCCAAACCCTGCACGAAGAAAGACCAAAGAGGGCTCTCACTGGTAAGGAGCCTCTGGCATTCCCACCAGGAAAAGCAAGCCCCAACTTCTGTTCCTCACTCCTCATGTTGTTTATATATTTACTACCATGAAGTGGGATTGGAAAAGCTCCCTGGTGCAAGGATCAGCCAGCACTCCTCATTCCCCACCCTGGAAGAGCCCAAACAACATGCTACAGAGGCAGGGTCTCTTTTGCTTGCCTTCTCTTGCAGATCCACTCCTTTTTGCACAATAGACCAGCTACAATTAGGGAAGTATAGAGAACATTTCCTTCTCTCACTGACCTCCAGCAAACCTGTGAAGATGCTCATGTAGAAAGGGAAGCAGTGGCTTTGAAATCTCTCAGGCTGAGGGTGTGAAACTTAGGTCTTGCTGTTTCTGGGCAAGTGCTTGAACTAGCAGATTTTTATACAAAAAGAGGGAGTTACCCATTCCAAATATAGTCAGGAAGAAAAGAAATGCTAACTGGTAATCTATCCCCAAGGGTAGGATTATGGTTATGTGTGAGAGTTCTCTGCAAATCCCTGGCCTGGATGATTGCCCTTGCCACATCCTTACTGTGTGCCCAGGGGACAGCAAGGTGTGCAGCAACCTTCCCCTCTCTTCTACTCTCTGGCTTTCGCAGGAAGAAGACATGGATGTATGGTTTTGAAGTCATGACCCGCCCCAGCCAGGTCCTGGTTTGGCTGTATGGAGGACTATAAGGTGAACTGTGGTTCATCAGTGTTCTGCACTGCTAGATGTCTCAAGGTACAAGCTGACACCTAATCTGGGCTTTCAAATGAATACCTAAGTCAGAGAGAAAGGTGGCATTTCCAGGATTGACTCCTTTTTCACATTTCAGTCTGTCTGAGCAATGTCCTCTCAGCATCTCGATGATGTGGGCCCCATTCTGGGGTGCCAGTCTCCTCGTTGTGGCAGTGCTGTAGGTGCCTTAGCCCTTGTCATGCTGAGGGCCATCTGGCTGCCATTCTGTAGCCTGCCTTTCACTTGCACATTTGTACCTTTCCTCCTAAGCTGCCATAAGAGTGTTTTCCAGCTCTTCTGGGACAGCTGTTTTCCTCTGTTGTCAGTTGTTCTCGCGTTGTTCTCATGCTGTTATTCTTATGGCCTTGATCCTGCAAACTTGATACTGTTGTTAAGGTGTGTTCCCAAGGGGAGCAACCGCCACTGGGGTGAGAATCATGCCCACCCTTTATATTCTCGTTGGTGGTAGCTTTCTGTGACTGGACCCAAAAATACACAGATTAACAATCAGCAGGCATGCAACACCCACTCTGGTCAAAGTGTTCTCCCAACAGCATTGCAACCAGGAATAAAGCACAAATTCCCCCAAAACAGTTCCCGATGAAAACTGCTTGGTTATTGTAGGACATAATGCGGGGATCCTCCTACATGGAAAAGACACCCAAGCAGGGGGCCTCATTACTTGTTTTCCCAGCTGGCTGCTCAGAGAATTTTCCTTTCCTTTATCTCTCTCTCTACTTCAACACTTGTGCCTTGCTGTCACTGATAGGCTGATAACAGCAAGGGCTGTTTGATAAGATGACTGCAAATGGCTCCTTAGCTCAGGATGTGGTTACGACTGTATCTGAGAAAACTCATACATCCAGGCACTTGTCTTCACAGTTCATCATTCTTTCAACCAGCTGATTGAGAAATGTACTGAGCTCTTCCAAGAAAAGAACTCATGAGATGTTCAGCTCAACTTAAGATCAGGCCTTTAAAAGAATTTATTGTAAAGAAGACCATCAGCATCACCAGTTCTACAGTGATGGCCTGTGTTAAGATTTCATGATGTTACAGAAGTGTGGATCTGCTTCTTTGATGCAAACAATGGTGTCAGTTCATGACTGATGAATTTTTTTTAATCGCCTTTATCTTTACATCCACCCAGTAATTAAGACTTGGAAAGGGACTGTACCTATATGTTTGCATGCAAAAGATGATGCTCTGCGTGGAGTAACTGATTATGTTAGCAGTTTCAATTCTGACTGAAGAGTTCCTTGGTCCTGCCAAAACTCAGGAGTCAATCCAGCTAAGAAAGATATGATTTGGTTGTATCTTTTCCAACTGCTGTAGGAGATTGACTTCAGCCAGAGTCCAAACCAGGACAAACTGAGACAAAGCACTGGGAACACACAGATAGAGAAGGCTCAAACTGAGAGAGCCCAACTTCCCAGCATCCTGGACAGCAGCCATGAGAGGTTTATTACCATAATGATACATGAGATAGAAGGAAAGATGACTAACAAACCTTTTGCTTGAAGTTGTGGCTGAGTGTCTCATAACCAGAAACACTCAACTGCCTTCAGGTAAAACCTTCCATCAGTCCCAAAGAGCAGGCTGTTCACTGAGTGAGTAAACTGAAGCCGGGACACAGCAATTTCCCAAATCACTTGCCATTGCTGATTTCCACCCCTGGTGCTCTGAGCTCTAGCACACAGCTCTCAGTGCCCTGGCTCCAGATCAGTGTTGGCTCGACGACGTCTAACATAACTCACACATTACACATTGTCTAGGGTTCGGCTGTCATGGCTATAAACAGCAAAATAAGTCAAGATAAGAGATTACCCAGATTACTGGCAGCAGCAGAAGCCATAGAGGAACATTGGCAAGGCTGCTTTTGCTATCTGGAAGAAAGCTGAGTAGAGAGGAAAACAAGGCTCTGCTCGTACTGGAGGCACAGTCCTTGGCATCCTGCTAGGAGAGCGGGATACAAGCTGCCCTCACCCAGGATTTATGACCAGCCACCCTGTCACCTCAACAAGGCTCTGTACCACATTAGGGCATCTTCCCAAGCACAACATTTGCCCATGGCATGGCCCTGCTAAAGGTTCAGACATGCAATGGAGTCACTAAAGCCTAAGAAGGCTCCACATAGCACATAACCTTCTGCTCCATCATATGCTTACCCTGAGCTGGGGGCAAAAGGGTTATACACCTACACCCTCCACAGCTCCTATTTGCAACAGGCCAACCCTCGTTAGAAAGGGGTCAGGGTCATTTCAGAATGGGAGCCCATGGGTGCCCAGAGCAGTGGTGGGTGTCCATGACAGCTGAGCTGTTCATGGACGCACTCTCACTCCTTTGAGAATAGCAAGGAGAGCCCATTCATCCAACCCTCTTTCACTGAGGCTTAACATAATGTGTTTCACTCCTTGGCTGCCGAAGGCAAAGTGTGTGAATCAGTCAGATATTGCAGCACACTTGACATGTAGGAACTCAGCCATGTGTCTCAGCCCTCTGGGCTAACTATTGTCACAGTGTCCTTCCTCCTGCATTTATCTCGGCCTGTTTATGACCCTGTGTGCTTGGGTCGCATCAGATTTATTTTGTGCATTCCCTTGGCAGGGGACAGGTTCCCACTTCATTTTTGCCATGCATTTTTCCCTTTTCTGAGCTGCTGTGGTTTAGACTCTTTTCCTTCCATGCATGGGGGTGATTTGCTGAGCTTCAGAAATATTTTTTATGATTTCACTAAAACACCCCATTTCTGAGCCTTTCTATTAATATTCAGACGTTCCTCTATTGCTCACCATGCAAGTAATAAAGCTCTTTCCATAGGAAAGCAAACAGCTTAGCACTAAAATCTGTTTAAAACAGATAAAGTTTAAAGCCTTACATAAAAAGTGGTTCTGATTTTTTCAGTCCTCATTGTACTCAGCGGAGCATTTTGTCATTATAACTTTGGACTACAGCAAAAGAACCTTGCAATAAAAAGCTGCCATAAATTGACCTTTTGTTGCAAATTCTACCATTCAAGCATAAAGCAGCAAGAAAGGCTACATAAGCTGTGTTAAAAGTAGGTCACTGTACACCCACTGTTACCACGGCTGGTCCTGGCTGCGTGTTGCTAACCAGGTCTCTTGGTTGGAGCAGCGATAATGCACACAGGCGAGATGGTGAACTCATCACACCACTTCATACAGCATAGAAAGGCCCAGTGGTGTTGGGCGGGTGGTTGAAAACCTTGTTCCTGGGTAGGGCAGGACTCCTGGGGACCATCTATAGAGCTGCTTTCTGAGAAATGGGGAATCCTGGTAGCAGGGATGGTGTTTCTGCAGAGAGCCTGGTGGCTGGTACTGCCACCCCTTAGGTAGGTCCTGGTACTGCAGAAATGACACCAGGAGCTGGTGGGAAGCTCTACTGGTAATACTACAGCTCTAGATGCAGCAACAAAACTGCAGGTCTGCACTGCCTGGCCTAGCCAAGCCTCTCTCTCTCCCCACCGTGCTCACATCCAGAGCTGGGACAATGCGACCTGCGTGAACCTCCCTGCCATGGTGGTAGTCTTTTCCTCTAGCCCAGGGCATCTTTCCTTTCCCCAGCAAAGTCTGTTATGCTCTGGCACATACCAGGTGTAGGGAAACAGAAGGGGATGAAGAAATGACTGCTCTGGGGGGTCTCATCTCTTCCAGTTTCATTGGTTTAGTCTCCACCATCACATAAGGTCATCCAGACCACTGTAATATTAGCTCACTCTCAGATATAGAGCAGAGAAAAAGAGACTTTTACCTCTTCCACAACTGTCTGAACTGTCATTGTTTTTTCACTGTTGGTCCTCTGAAACATTCAAGTGGTCTCAATCTCTGCAGCTCCAGGAAAGTCCAAGTTAAAACAACAGCTGTGGCTTGACTCAACCTGTCCCCTTCCAGGGCTACATTCTCTGCATGATGCCTGTTAGAGGACCCCTGGGATTTTCCAGCATTGTCAACATCACTAAAGAGAAAGTTGAATCCAAGACTCCAAGAGTCAACAGGTCCTTTCTCTATTAACTCCTCTGGGTTGGCTACAGACATTACCTCAGAAAACCACCATACTCCAGGAAAATGCGTAAGTGCACAGACCTCTAAAATTCACTCTGAATTTGAGTGAACAAAGCTCAGGGTCAAATGTTTCCTTGACTCAGACCCTAACCAGCATACTATAGATGATAGGAACTGAGTGAGTCGTAATAACTCCTCAAGAGAACAATTATAACATCCGTATTTCCCCTGACTATCCAAACCTGTCTGACTCACCTGCACTAACTGGTCCAAAACAAGACTGCGTTCAAGATCCAAACTTGTCCTAGAGATTGACAGCAGACCCTGGCAGGTGATGGAGCGAAAGAGCACTTCCCCAGAACAATTCTGCCTTGTCCTCAGCTCAAGGATTTCCTGTTAAATCTTTTACTCAGCATCAGGAAGGAGACTTCATTTACTATCCTTGACATACAATGACATGATAGACTGAAGAGAAATTGTTCTCCTTTATATCTCTATTATAGACGTACACAGTGAAATAATACATAGCCTTTGATCTTGTTCTGTGTTCTGTATCATCTTTGCAGCTGATTGAAAAAAAAAAAGAGTTGATTTAAAGACATTCAAAGTAACAGAATAGCTAGATTTTACAATTTGTACTGAATTATTTATTGCACGATAAATAACTTACCTGTTTTAATAGACAATCTGTCCACCCATCCCCTTCCATGGGCTGCTGTTCGAAAGGGCTTAAACACCATCAGAGGAGAGAAGAAGCAATGGGAGCAAGATGCTGGTGCCTGGTTATCAGAGGAAGAAACAAAATGTGGAATTTGTTTGAGGTTTTTTTAATTGTAACCCTGATAGATATTAAGCAGGAAGGTTCTTCCCAATATTTCTGTGACAGTTCTGAGTGGTCCCAAATTGATGTGTGTTTCCCTATACTGAATAAACACAGCCTAGGCAGAATGGGTGCCCATTCTGCCACAGAGCCAGAACATCACAACTTCTGAGGAGCACTGTAAGGCAAGGAAAACCTGGTCTGACTGGCTTATCTGACATAGGAGGTGTTGCACTTAATGTGCATTTTCGACTAGTTTTGAAGGACCTGCACCAAAATACATTAAATACACTTCTAGATATTATATACTAAAAGGTCTGTGGCCTGTATGGCCCAGAAGACCCAAACCTAAACAGAGACTGATTAGAACAATGCTCAGCATATGAGCGCCAAACTTTTTAACTCCCCCTGAAACAGAGCTCACAGAATTTCTGTTATCTTTGTAAGCCAGACTTTCTGAAGAGTTTATGCAGTCAAATTACCTGTGTGTTCACAGATGTATAAATGCACAGGTGTGCCCACCCCACAGAATCACAGAACGGTTGAGCATTTTTGGGGACCATCTGGTCCGATACCCAGTCAAAGCAGGGGCAACTAAAGGAGTCTGCTCAGGGCTGCATCCAGTCAAGTTTTTAATATCTCCAAGGACGGAGATTCCACATCCTCTCTGGGCAAGCTGCTCCAGTGTTTGACCACTGAACAGTAAAAAAGTTATTTCTTTCGTTCACACAGAATTTCCTATATTTCTGTTTATGGTCGTTGCCTCTGGTGGTGTCACTGGGCACCACCACCGAGAAGGGTCTGGCCCATCTTACTTACTCCCCTCTTCCCTCCAGTCAGATATTTATAAACACTGATAAGGTCCCCTTCAGCCTTCTCTTCTCCAGGCTGAATAAGCCCAACTCTCAGCCTCTGCTTATATGGCCCTGAATCACCTTTGTGGCCTTTTGCAGGACTCAGTGCAGCAGGTCCATGTCTCTCATGTGCTGGGGAGCCCAGCACTGGGCACAGCACTCCAGATGTGTCTCATCAGGGCTGAGCAGAGGGGCAGGATCACCTCTTCTGACCTACTGGGAACACATGATGCATGATGCATGACGCAGACCGGGAGGTTGGTGGCCACCTTTGCCACAGGGACACATTGTGGCTCATGTGTCACTGCTCCCAATTCTTTATCATCTGCAAACATGCTGAGGGTGCATTTGGCCCCATCCTCCAAGTCACTGATGAAGAGATTAAACAGTACTGGCTCAGTATCAACCCCTGGGGGACCTCAGTGGTAACTGGCCTCCAGGTGGATTTTGAGCTGCTGATCTCCACCCTCTGAGCACAGCAGTTCAGCCAGTTTTCAATCTGTCTCACTGTCCACTTAACTAGTCTGTACTTCAACATTTTGTCTCACAGGTGTTATAGGAGACAATGTCAAGAGCCTTGCAAAATAAACAGCATCCACTGCTCTCCCTTCATCCACTTAGTCAGTCATCTCACTGTAAAAAGCTGTTGTGTTGGTCAAACATGATTTCACTTTTATGAGTTTATGCAATTACTTGGGATTATTTTCTAGGGATCATGGTGAGGCTGATCAGCCTGTAGTTTCTCAGATTCTCCATGCCCACATTGAAGATAGGAGTAACATTTACCTTCTACCAGGCCTGAGGAATTTCCTCAAGTTACCACAGCCTTTCAAAGATAACTGAGAGTGGCCTCACAGTGACATTGACCAGGTCCCTCAGTACTCGTGGGTGCATCCCATCAGATTCCATGGACTTGTACACATCTAGTCTGCCTAAATGTTCATTAAATTAATCCTTATCCATCAAGAGCAAGTCTTCCTTGCTCCAGACCTTCCCACTAGTTTCAGGCATCTGGTATTCCTGTAGGCAAATCTTGCTTGAAAGAACAAGGGGAAGAAGGCACTGAGCACTTTGACCTTTTCCATGTCCTTTGGCACCAGTTTCCTTGCCCCATTTTCATCTTATCATCACTGCAACCAGGGCTACCCCTGACTTTCATACTGCTGACCAGTTCTTCCACATTGGTAAGCATCAGATAGAGCAGAGAACTTCCTTTGGATGGCTCCTCCATGCCTGTGTCTGGAAGAGAGTTATCCTCAATGCACTTTAGAAACAGCCATGCATGCTTGTTCCAGAAGCTACCAGGGTGGTTCAAGAACCAGACCTGCAAACGTGAGGGTTCTCCCAGTTGTTGGCTGCTTCTTCCCAGTCAGGTGATCTGTAGGAGACATCTACCACAGTTGCTCACATTGGTCTGCCCTTTAATCCTGACCCATAAGCTCCCAGCTGGCTCATCACCCCTCCCTAGGCAAAGCTACAGGCACTCCTGCTGCTCTTTCACATGAAGATCTTTTCCAAATCTTAGCTGATTTCAGAGAAAGATCTATCTCAAGCATTCAAAGTTCCTGATTTTTCATGGAAAAATGTCTCCATGAGAGGGGCAGAGTGAACGGACAAACACACAACAGGACTGTGGGATGCAGGAGCTACTAGATCCTTCTTAGACAAGGGAAATCCAGTTATAGGACTCAAATAAATGGGAAAATCAGACTGCATTATTTCTACTTTGTACAAAGCAGTTCTGTATTTTTTTATAGAAGCATTGTGAGACTTTGGACCTTAAATTTCCAATTTTTCCTATTTCCTAAAAATAGGAAAAATATGAATGTAATTCTCAGAAGAAAGAAACAGCTACTTCATAAGACATCTTATGTGAGATGTTCCTTACACAGCAGGAGTCCAGATCACAAAATCATTATCCAGTCCTATCACTGTATGTACTTTCCTCAAGAATTTTAACTTGGCTACAGCCTCTTAAGAGTAATGTATGAACTTAAGGATTTTCAACTATCAGAGAAAATACAAAATATCATTCATTAAGTCTTATACATTGGGGCTTACATTTCTAGGTATCTTATGAGCACTGGAAGCTCCCACTAATGTCAGTTGTTTTTATAGTTTTGGCACCACACAAGCTATTATTGCTTATTTGTTCTTTACTGAAGGCCAGAGACAGGCTTACACCAAGTTCATAGAGAAGAATGAAATGAAAATCCCTAAGTCTCCAAATGCAGGCACAGCTCCCACTTGCTGTTTCAGAGCCCTTCATCTCTCAGACTTACACCGGAGGGAGAGGGAATGAAGCCAGTCACTAAACAAGGTTACAAACTGCCCTTCAAACCCTGAAGAATTATTCTGATGGCTGTTGTTGACACTATGTTTATTAGTTTCCTGGTTTAAACAGACATATGTTCTGTGGAAAAAAACCAAAAAATTGGACTTAAATCAGAGTCCCCACAGCTTGTTTGTGACTACAAACTTCTTGGAATTGTTTTAAAGTTTATCACTATTTGCCTACTTTCTAAATAAGCAGGAATGAGGAACAAAAACATCAGTTGTTACCTCAGGCAGGTATATCCTTCCATAGGGCTACTCTAGTGCCAAAGTGTGTCCTCAGTTTGGGGTTGCTGCAGGTTGGATGTGGAAGGAGCCCTCAGCACCAGTGTCCTGATGAGGGGAGCTCGGTGCTGCTCCCAGCACAGCAAGAGCAGCCCTCACTCCAAGGAATGATGGCACAGCTGGCCCTGTGCTATGGAATTAGAAACTTCTCTTTTGAAAGGGTTCTTTGTTTCCATAAATAATGGGCAAAATTCTTAAGAGTGCAAATCAGCTTTCTCAGAAGTGATAGGAAGCCCTTGAGCTCAAGTCTCCAAGGTAGCTGCAGCCAAGTTACCTGATCACAGGAATCTGTAGGGTCCAACATGCCTGAATACTTCTGAGGATCTGTGCCAAGAGCTTGAGTTTCACAAATATGAAATGAAACAAAGACTCCAAAGTGCTGGTTTTTTTGTTAGCTGTTCTAATATAGCCTTGTGAAACACATCAGTAGAACCAAAGAAAAACTAAGAACTTCTTTTTGTGTCTGGTCTTTGTGCTTTAGAAAAGTTTACCCCAAATCCAAAGCTACTTGTCCACTTGTCCAAAAGCCCGACCATTCTTGAGAAAGATCTGCCATCCAGTACACGCTACAAATCATCTGGACAGCACTGTCCTGGTGGTTGGATGCCTCCTTCAGGCCAGAACAGCCATGGGTGAAATGATGTTACACAGGGGCAGAACTGCACAGCCACGCAGGCTCTCCCCTCTCCAGTACTGTGTGACCAGCACTAAATATCATTTCAGGCAGAAGAGTGTGTCAGATGCATGATGCACACTGGCTTTCTAGGCTTTTGTAAATCTGTCTGCAAGTTGGTGTCCCAAAGGGCTTTTATACTACCTGCAAGGGGACCACTCCAGGGCCAATGTCAGGGGATTTAGGTCACCACAAGCAGTCCTTAGGTGATTTTCTGCAGCTCTCAATCATTCGTAATGAATTATTGCCACCACAGTCACAGGACGTCTTAAGCACAGATGTCTTTTCTCTTCTTACTGCCAGCATTTCAGTTCATCTTGTGTTTCTATAAACCTGGTTTTCTCTCACATGCAAACAAAGATTTCAGGTAGCAACCTTGTCTCTAGTAGATTATTGCATTTTGTCCTTCAAACAGTTCTTCTGATATGAAATCCTAGAGTCATCCAAAAGGCATTGACTATAATACCATAAGTTTTTTAATTAGTTATAAATATAAATGGCAGGCAATATTTATTAAAAAAAAAAAAAAAAAGGAAAAGCCCCATGGAGATGTTATTTTGATTCACTTGCATCTGCCCATGCTGCTTCCAGATGACAAGATTGTAGAATTAAATACAAAAGTAATGTGAAAAAATGTCATCTAAGTTGAACCATTTGTATTAAACCCAAAGCTGACCTGGCCTTTGTGGTTTCTTTTGCTAAATCAGGGGTGTTGTTTTTATTGTTGCTGTGTCCGTGTCCAGCCAAAACTCGTGGTGTCTGCATCCCATCCCTCCACAGTGACGTGCTGGAGACCGTTCTGTGGGAATGCCTTATGTTAGCATTACTGCAAATGACATGATGTGCCAGTACAGATGTCAGGTGAGAATTTCAAAGTTACGATAAAAATCAGTACAAAACCTGGCCAGTGTACCAGGAAACCTCTGCAGGCTTATGCAATCCTGTTTGTTCCAGTTACATCAATCAATGTTGCCCTGGCTCAGGAAAAATAAAGTAACTACAAACAATTATTTTCAAATAATGAAACTCCCAAAATGTAATTGAAGAAACTCTGAACTCTACTTTATTCCCATTTAAAAGAAACATTCCATACATATCAGGGATTTGTCAGAATTCCCCTTCCTCTGTCTTGCCTTCTTGTAAAATTTACTTTTAATAACTATCAGCTTCCTGAACCACAAAGCTCTCTCTTCTGTTTTGCTGTTATTCACTGGGGCAAAATAAAATGCAAGAAGAGAACGCAGGTGTGTTTATTCTGGGTCAGGGCAAAAGGAATTTGCACTCCAGCAGAAGTGGAAACACAAGCAAGAGGCTAATGAGTTGTTTCCAGCCTTTGCCTGCTGCAGTGGGAGGTTTCCTAGAGGGGCTGGCTAAAGGACACCAGCCAAAACTACACCTCCCAATCCCACGTGCTCACTACTGTGATGGCTTACCTTGGAGGGAATGTGGTCATCCTCTTCCTACTGTAGGAAGTCCCAAATTTGCAGAGAGTAGAGGTGTTAGAGGCATCTTAAGTGCTGCAGTTTCCTCCTGAGAAACCATCCCTCTTCCTTCACAGTCTGAAACCTTATCATCACAATCAAGCAGCGAGTGCCAGGGAGAGGTTTCGGTGCCTTTCATCCTTCTGGTGTCTCCGAACTGGCAGCTTGGAAATAGCACAATCCAGTGCAGATGTTATAGTGCAGCTCCCTCTTACTGCAGTGCTCTTCTGATGAGGCCAGAAACCTGCCCAGTGCCATAGGGAAGAATACCACGGCACTGGGCAGTGGTGACTGGCCAAGTTTTACAAAGCATTGAGCTCACTGCAAAGGTAGACAGATCTTGTGGAGAGAATCACCTTTCAAAAATCCCACTAAGCACCACTGCTTCATA